CAGGGTAGCTTAAAGCAAAAATCCATCCACAGCGATGCACATCAATCCATGATGTTTGTACGGTGTTCAAGGGCTTATTTGTCATTGCACGTTGATTAACATTTTCGAGATTCACATTCGCTTTTATGAATGTCCTTTCATTTTCTTTGCACACAAGGCCTTGACTGGACTAGAAAATTAATATCCAGCAAAATGCTTTCCTATAGCATAATGCCACAAGTTCGTGAAGAGCATTTACAGTAGCTTTTGCTGCCAGACACGGAAAAAAAAAGTCAGTTTTTCATCTTAATCCAAAACACACGCGGCTGCAGTAAACTATAATTTGTCTTGTGGCTGTGACTGACAACACCGAAACGGCGATTCTGAGATTGACACCAAAACCTGCTGAGTTATTTCCAATATGAATCATCACTGGAGCTGCTGCAGGCATCCCAGTATGGGGTCATCGTTTTCCATGTTTGAAAATGTCACCTCGGAATTAACTTTCATACGCAACAGCAGATCGGAGCCAGACAGCACATGCATTCATCACCTGTACTGTTGCAGTGTTTTGGTGTGTCTTTTTCTATACACTATACAGAACCCATGACGCATTTTCTAAAAGCAGATTGTGAGCCGCTGCAGCAGTATTATGCTTCTTTATCTCCTTTGAAACTCCCATGGCAGCAGCAGAAGAAGATTATTTAAGACATTGCATCAGACCCAAACAGCTACTTGTTATTCATTTCTTAATTATATATTTTAGTGCCTACGTTCATTAGAGAGTAGTTGAGGCTGGTGACAAGCATACAGATGACTCATACTTTGGATAACGCATTCAACATACTTTATACTTTTCATACTCCTTCCTTGTTTGGCCTTTCTCTTTTTTCTGTTTCTTTTTTCAAAGTGGAGCTGACATTGTAATTATCGTGCATCACTGATGACTCTTCAGGTGATTGCAAAATCATTAAGACTATACACCGGCAGATGTTTGGGTCTAATTGCCCTATTAGGAGGGAGGGTGGAGGGAAGCTGGGGTTTGATGTTTGAATAAACCTGCAGTGTGACCAATCCTCAGCTGACATGATTAGAACCGTGCACCCAGTCCTCTTTGATAAACTTGCAGTAACACGCATGCCGCAACACGCCACCTGTTGCACAGAGCAAACACACCGCAGCTTTTTCATGCATCTCGGACAGATTGGATAGCAACTGCTCTGGAGGAAAAAATTTATGCAAATATCACCGAGAAGCATTAGAGATTAAAACTAACACACATTCAGTCCAGATGTTGTAAGGGTTGCATCTGTTTTTCAGAGTCGCATAGATAATCTGTGAGACTCCGGTAAGTCTTAGACGTATCGCTTTTTATTCATCGACTTCCAAAATGAATTCATTCTGAATGGTCTTACTTCAAAGGCATTACATATGGAGAGTTCAGTAGTCTTATGAGTTGATGCTAGGTCATAATAACAGCTGGAAAACACATCGGAGAAGCCAGGCTTCTGTTGACACATCACAACTACATTTTCTTGCAATTTGGACTCTTATTTCATTTTACCCCCGTATATTGTGCTTTTTTGTTGGTTTTTCAGTGGCACAGGTTTTCCACTGACTGTATATCAAAGATGGATGTAACCCGATAAACTTCACTCACTGGATTCAAAGTCTTGTTCTGAAGCCTTGAGCAGAATATCTTTGGATATGAGGATTAGAGCGGGTCCGAGCGGGTGGATCTTTCGTTTAGGTGGTAAAGGTAATCATGACCAGTTCGTACACATACTTCCATATTTTGCAGATTCACTATTTTAAGTATATGCATCCTATCAAGTATCAGTTACATGGAGTGATCTACAAATACTCTTAACAGTTCAAAAGTTAAGTGTGCAACACTGTACACCGCCTATGATTGCTTTCATGAAGGGATCGCTGCACAATCTGCAGGCAGTAAAAGCAGCAGTTATTATCAGTATTAATGAATCAGTACAATGACTTTTTTAAGGACTGCAGGTGAAGCCACATATTACATACTTGATTTATAAAGTTGTGTTTTGAAGTCTTGAAAGAAGCATTTTTGAGATCCCCATCTTGGTGTTTTGACACTGAGTGGGGTGAGCGATGAGTGGACCTTAGTGAGAAACCAATGGACGCTGTATGTTAATATCATAGCAAACCACTAAAGCATACGCTTCTTTATCTTCTGTTTAACCCATTATGCACTCTTAGTTCATACAATGAGCATTTTCTTGCTTTAAACAAGACGAGAAACTAGTGGAAGAGACCAAAAAGTCACCGCAGGGTCATTTTCTCATAGATTTATTTTAAAAATCTGATTTCTTCTGACCACCAGAAGACTCATTCACTGCTGGAAAAATGCAAGTTTAAAGCACTTCGGCACTGGCTTCACTTTTCTGACCTTATATAACTTTATATAGACTTTATATATTTCTGATCTTACATAAAGACTCAATGATCTTCAAGTCATTTCATGCTGCATTGTTAATGGTTGCTTAACAGGTCATAGCTGTAACAACACTGTGCGAAAGCCCTCCTAAATTTAACACTGTTAGAATATTGTTCCAGGCTGTCTTACATCACAAGACTGTTGGAACGGCTAACTTTTAAGCTCTCTCACGGTGTAACGCGGGACCGCAGTGTTAGAGCCACGAGCAAAGACATTGTCACAGTTGGTCATCTTTCTCTGGGACTGCCCAGGATCACACAGCGTTTGCTTAAGGAGTGAAAAGCTCGGTGACATATCTGCTCGCCCTGCATTCTGCTGATTCTCTAATCTCTTTCCACACTAACTTTATCAAGTCTTTCAAGTTTCTGGATGATGAGCCGTAAAGTCGGATATAATGGTGCACACTTTCAAACAGTCACACAAGGAATTCTTTGTGTTGCATTTTTACACTAGAAGCAATTACAAGCACCTTATAGAGACGTTGAAACGCTGCCTACTCTTACACACCTCCGCAGTCCAGTCCCTGTGCAAATGCAAAGCAGGTACAATCCTCATACTGCCTCTTTCACAAAATGACTGAAATTGGCCGATACAGCCCCACCTTGTGGACTCCACAGACAGAAAAGTGTCTTCAGATGCTTTCAGTCAACCTAGTAAGTCCTCTAAGGTTTGCCTATTGAGCTATTCGCTCCTTCAAATCCCTACAACGTCAGTTTCCTGGTAAAGTATTCACTTAAAATAGCAGTAAGTGCTAAATTAGCTACACTATAACAATCAGAAGGCAGTTTCCCGTGGTTGCGGTCATATAATTATGCTGCACTTCTGCTTCTGCTGCTAACTTATTGGACTGAGCAAGCACAAAATTGAGGTAGAATTTGTAGCAATGTGCAAAGACAAAGTATTTTATTATGTGTATAAGGAGCCACAATCAGTTTTCAATATCTAAAAACAAAAGCAGTTTGAAAAGCTTCATAAACAGCAGTTTTCATAAGCACGTAATGATAAGAGTCACTTTGCAGTTTATAGTATGAATTCCCACACAAAACATCTTAAAACTCTAGGTGGTGATGGCTGAAGAAAGGAAAACATGGCAGGAGTCATTTCTTTTTCTAATGAAGCCGTCCTTCATAGATTTGAAGAATGTCTTCCTCCATCTATTTTTGCACACTGAGTGAGATTCTGGTTGCCTGGCAGAGTTCATTGACCAACATCTGCCTACCCTGCTCTCTACCAACCCCCTCTCTTACACCACTCTCCTACTCCTGTCCAGTTCTGGATTAGAGCTGGCCTAAGCCCCCCCTTGCATGCTGCTCTGCATGGATTAACTCTCACAGAAGCTACACTGCTGTCACACATTAACCTGCAATCAGAAGTCTCTTGTGCAAAGGACACAAACCTCCGTGTGTTGTTAGAGTCTGACAAAAACCAACCGGGAAGCATTTGTTCTGTTTTTGTGCGCTGCGAGAGCAACATGTAATTCAGAGTGATGCGAGGCAGGACAAGTTCACTACCAATAACAGAAAAAAGGAAGAAAGCTACCATTGCTGTCTCACTGATTAATCAGGCGGATCCAGAGGTTCCTTTAAAAAAAGAAGAAGGTAGCAACAGCTTTTATTTTGGCAGTACATTTACTCGAGTTGTGAAGACTGTCACGTTATCTTCTCATCAAGATCTATGCTGTGAGTGAAAATGGTTTTTGCAGGATGCTGGAATCTTGCTCTGTCTCTGTCACTTGCAATAGCAGTGCTGCATATTAATTCCTATTATTATTCGGCCACTCAAAGCTGTTAGATTAAAAGAAATGACATTCGGCAAAAAGCTTTCTCAAAAGGAGCCTCCCCTCTGTGATGGAGAGAGATATGCAAACACACACACACATACATGCACGCACAGACACGCACATATCTTCATGCTTTAGAAACTAACACAAAACAAGCCAACGAATGGACAATACAGTCACATGAAAGGAACTTTGTGGCCGTCTTGCCACTAGTCAGTATAAAATGTGGATGGGCTTTACAGATGCAGCCCACTGAGCTCAAAACTGCGACTAATTTGAGGCTTCATCAAGGAGCCGAGAAAACGCAGTCTGGTGAGACTGATCGACAGTATAGATCAGGCACCCTGTAGACGCTGGGAAGAGGAAAATGCACACACAACGACTGCAATCATTCACTTCAATAACATCACACATCCTTTCAGTTGGAGGAGAGCTGAAGAGGTGGAGAAGGAGGGGGAGCGGTATTCTTTGCAGCAGCAACAGTTGGCTGTCTGTCGACTGAGAGGCAAAGAGTTAGCATGCGCACATACGCCAGGCGACTGGAGATAGAAAGAGATGGACGGGGGAGCTGAGAGAAGAGAAAGGTGACAGATAAAGCCACAAAGCCACAAGGCTGGAGGGATGCCTGGCAACCGGTGGCAAAAATGGAGATGCAGTAATAAGAGAAAGGCAGAGAGAAAGAGCTGAAAGGGATACACACACACACACGTAGAAATGTTAGGAAACACCGTGGTAAACAGTGGCATGGAGACAAGTGGGGAAATCATCACTCACTGGAGTCATCTGAGTCGTATCCCTCCACATCAGGCTCCTCGTCCTTTTTGGTGGCCTGTAAGGAGGCGGAGGCTCCGGCAAGAGCCCGGTCTGGGTTATCCTCATTGGGGCGGTCACTCTCAGCAGCAGCAGTCGTGGAGGCAGAAGCTGAGGAGGTGGAGAGGGCAGAGCGGAGGGGCCCAACGTGGGGCAGAGTAGGGGGAAGGCCCCGTGGGTACCGGGGAAAGTAGTCAGAGATCTGCTTGATGGGCTGGATGGGGCCAGGGCACACGTCAATGGCCATGTGCTCCTGGATGCTGATGGTGGGTTTCTCGCCTTTGCGTTGTGTCATGCATGCGGTCCAGCCAGGAGCCAACTCCAAAAACCAAAAAACTGAGAAAATAATAAAAGAAAAAGAATATAAACAGACCCACCTCCCTGGTCCTACTCCGCTTACTTCTCTAGAAGAGGCAGGTGTTGTCTTGGGTGGGTGCTGATGAGTGGACAGGTCCAGGTGATCTGTGGATGGCACCACTCTGGTCTACATGGAGTTCAGTAGGCGGCTGTTTTGTCTTCCAGTGCTGTCCTCAGACCCAGACCATGCTGTCTGACAGCCTCACACACACTACTACCTACCCTCCCGCTCTCTCCTCTTCCTATACCCCCACACTCTGCCCACGTCTGCGCTGCCTATCAGAGAGAGAGAGCATAAGAGTGGTGTGTGTGTGAAAGAGAGAGAGGGACTGTGAGGGAGAGGGAAGGGATTAGAGAGGAAGGAGGGAGGGATCAGCTGATGTCACTGCCTAGCAACCAAGCAGTAAACAGGAACCGTCGGCCGAGGTGCTTAATTATGATATTAACCCCATCCATCTGTCAGTGGGAGGGACGATCCACAGCCATGCCAGACGCATGTGAATTTGTGTCTCCTTGAGCGCGTGGGCGTGCGTGCGTGTGTGTCTGTGCGTGTCACGTGCTGTGATAACCTGGACAATGAGGCATGAATTGACGCTTTGTGAATCCCTTCCAGGATGTTTTAGTGCTGAAAATCAGTCTCACTCGATTAATTCTCAACTGCAAACACCCAAATGAGAAAACTGATTTCACCTGTTTTCTAAAATTTCAGCGTACCACCAGACACTGATTTGGTTTTTCAGAGTGAGAAAACAATAAGAGTAGAGGGGCCGACCAAGGCGAGTTCTCCCCTCAGGCCCCAAAATATCTAAATGTGCTCCTGCTACTGCCATTGCATTCAGATTTTAATTCGTTGTTTAATTTGTTTCCATTACACTAATCAACACATATATCTTAATACCCTGCAATATTATACAAATATTGCAAGGCTGGTAAGATGGTAATGTTGTTACCTTACAATATAAAGCCCCTCAGGTGACTATCGCCGTGAACTGGTGCTATATGAACAGCCAAAGCAGTGAATTGGATTTGTTTTCACCAGCTTATTACAAACTTTAGATTATTGGCTGGGCTATAATAATAATAATAATAATAATAATAATAATAATGAACAACTAGCTATAAGCTATATAAGGTACCTCATTTTTCGTTAACCATTTTTACACATAAACAGTACTAAAAACTATGAAGGACTGTTTTTTAAGTAACAAAGCACTACAAGTATCAGAGGTTAAAGTGGACAGATGGAGCTACGTGAACTGAGTGCACCACATAACCACTGTGCCTCAGCTGCGGCAGCTGCAACAGTTATCCTGGTGGAAACCTGATCGTGTGTCATATTGCTTTATTTTAACTGCTACACATCATTCAGCTGCCCTCAGTTATGTCCTTCCTGTTAATTTCCATTACATGTGGAGTGCCCCAGGGTTCGATTTAAGGCCTGATCTTATTTTCATAAGCATGTTGTTGGGGTGGATGCGGCTCAGGTGATAGACTGAAACATTGTTGACTACAGTGTTCGACGGTTTGATCTCCAGATCCTTTAAGTGTTGACGCTGAATCCCAAGTTTCTCCAGATGCCACACAAACACCTTGTGTAATTGTTTGTGTCTCTATGAGAAACATTAGAATTCGCTTTAGTTAAACGCAGCTATCCAAGTGCAGACTATTTCCCATTTATTGTTTCATTTGTGCAGGCCCACCTGTTTAAATGTGCATATACACCCATCCCCGAGTACAAATTATACACCCTGATGTTTTCACATGTTATTTAATTCCTTACCACCTGTTACACAATTATAGGTGGCGGTGGAAATATGTACACTCTCAGATCGCTTATATCATTACTGTGTATGGATCTGGCTGACACCGTGACCCGGTGATGTTGATGCCAGACTAGGTGAGACCCTTCCTGTCATAGCACATCAGTGTTTACAGAGAGCCACACATAGAGAAAGCATTAGCTACAGGATTTATGTGTAAGTAAGTCCAAGCAGTTGTGATTTTAAAAAAAAATCCCTTACGTGTATGTGAATCTCTATATCCAGGAGTGCAGTTCAAAACATGTCAAAGCTGACTTTCACCCTCAGACACCCCAAGCATGAGCTCAATGCTTTGTCACATTACATAACAGAAAATCATTCTGGCTGCAGATTTACTCCAGCCTCTGCAGCTCAGCCTTCACCCATTCACAAACAAAACAAACATTCCTGCAGTGAACAGATGATGTAGCACCCTCTTGTGTCAGTCGTGAGTAACTAAATGTAGCTTTGGGGTTCAGAGGCCGGTCCTTTGCATTCGTTAACTGTATTAATTTCACATGATTATTTGACACAGGTGCTGCACATCAATTATTTGTTCAGTTCTACAGGAAAATGCCTCCTTTATGTGTCATCAACGATGCTCGACAACAATGCCTTCAAAGAGATTTCATTCCTCACCTCATTTTGCGCCGTCTGAACAGGTGTCCTCGATTATGTCCTTCCTCTAATAAAAAAGCAGAGTATCCCCGCAGGATATGTGCCAAAGATCTCCTCACTATCAGAACCAAAGCAGTTCAGATAAACAGTGATTATCAGCTCAAGAGGATTATCTTAGTTTAATTCAGCAAACAAGAATGTAAGATTTAAATAAAAGTCTAGGCTTTGGTCATAATTTGGTCATTTCCCACAACAGATTTGCTATTTTCACTATTTTATCATCGTTACAAACAGATTGCATGTACCGTAATTGTCGGGCTATAAGCCGCTACTTTTTGCACAAGCTTTGAACCCTGCGGCTTTTAGTCAGGTGCGGCTTTTCTATAGATTGTCCATGATTTTTGTGATATCATAAGACGATTTGTTTTGTTTGTTCCGCTGTTGTACGGCACTACGTTGCCTGGCGGAAGGATCGGGGTTCAAGAGTGGTATGTTGGTCACATGTCCATCCGCCAGGCAACATAGAAGCTGAGAGTGGATGACGAAGCCATCCTGAGCCTGTTCGTTTCCAACACTGGAGAAGAGGACTTTGGTGGTTTTAGTGCGCAGGAAGAAGAGGAAGATGGTGGTGAATGACTGACTTTTCTTCTTGTTAAAGCTGTGTCGCTGCACCTGAGCCTAAAAGGTAGTCTGAATCTATTTTTCTGGTGTGCTGTAGGTTACTGTTATGTACTACATTTGTTACTCATTTATGAAGCACAGCACATGTGCAAATATGTACCCATAACTTGATTTTCAAAATATTAATAAAAGGGGTGTGTCTCCAAACAGCCATCTCTTTCCTGACAATTCGCTTTGTGCATATTCTCTTACATATGATAAGTCAATATTGAAACACCTGCGGCTTTTGGTCAGGTGCGGCTAATGTATGTACAAAACAGGATTTTCCCCTGATTTTAGCTTGTGCGGCTAATATTCAGGTGCGCTTTGTAGTCCGGGAAATACGGTAATTGCCAACTTTAACATATTCGACTGTAAACTGACAGCGAACTGATTCAGTCTTATTGCTGTTCTTGATTCACCAAAGTCACACAAGTGGTTGCAGACTCGGTCCCCTCTTCGAGCCGACCAAACGTAAGGAGATTTTAAGTACGCTAGTAATTGCTAGTAATTTTTGGTTATGCCACAGGCTCCAACCACTGTTTTCCCCTGCAGCATCACCTTGATACCCTTTAAGCAGTCATTTAAACCTTACTCAGTGTTTTACATTTCATTATGAAGTCCCGTGGTGCTTTGAAATAACCGTTTGCTCAGCTCCTGATATTGAATAGCACGAAGCATTAATGAGTGGCAGCATCCAAGGAGAGCTTTAGAATTTAAATTGAAGGCACTCGCTGGCATCCAGCAGACACCGTAAATATCACTAAATTATGAAGCAGTTCATTGATACTCTGAGAGATTGGCTGGTGTACACAGTGGAGACAGGCATTTCTCTCAGGAGACAAAAACCAACCTGAAGCAGAGTCAGTATTGGATTTCCATTCATTAGGTTGCCAGAAACACAACTCCAATAAAGGCTAATGTTTTTCTAAAAGTTGCTTATAGCTAATGAATTCAACACAGTTATTTAGAAAGTGATATGTCACAAGTTATTTCTGCTGCCTCCAAATTTCCACCTTAAAGAGCAGACAAGTGAATTATTATTATTATTATATCATTTATTTATGAGTGACGTATTTATGTATGTGTATATATGTATATATTGTACTATTCTTAGTTAGTGTATTGTCTGTCTTGTCTTAATGTTGGTTTAAAATGGAGCACTGTAACAAAAAATAATTTCCCCCAGGGATCAATAAAGTATTCTGATTCTGATTTACTTTTCTACAACTTGTTTAAAAGCACCATTTAAATATGAAAGACGTTTTTCTAGCATCAATCAATGCCGGCACTCACAGCCACTCCAGCATGCGGGGTCGATAACTCAAAAGAGGTCCGCTAGAGCATTCGGAGTAAAGGAATGTAATTTAACTTGGTGGCTCTCTTGAGACAAGTAGAAAAGGCAGCTAGGAGCATCACAGTCGGGCGCTGCTGAATGGGTTAACCGAGAGTTCACTGATTAGCGACTGGCTCCTGTGGGAAAGACAGAAAATGTGAGTGGGACGCATGAAGATGAAGTCAAAATATTTTTGGAAAAGAGCATCCACTAGAGCTGACACCACTTTCACCCAGAATCTGAGCACATGATCAAAGCGGAGATGCATGGCGCTAACAGCTGATGTGGACAGTCTCTGGTACCTGTCCTGAAATAGCGTCAGTGCCTGCAGCTTTATGAGGGCCTCGTTTAACGAACTATCACTGAGCAGTAGGTCATCTGGTGTTAGAGTAAGTCTGATGCAGGGGAGGTGTTTGAGTCCTCAAAGAGCATCAGGAAGAAATCAGGTCCCTTTAAGTGATGACGTGATGAATCCTGCTTCCGGGCCCAAACTACCCTGCGTTTAATAAGGCTTTTGTGTTTTTAACATGTTTTAATGCTTTGTATCTTGTTCTATTTAATCTCAAAGAGCCCCTAAAAACAGTCAGTGATCACTGTCGGCCTCTCTCAGTTTTAATTACCGCTATTCATTTTAAAGCTCAGTTTTTAAAACCTTACATGTAACTACAGCCCAGCTCATGCAGCAGTATATTAATGACTAACCTCGTATTGTGGATGGATTATCTCAGTTGTTCTCCTGACTGAAGTTTGGTCCGTTTACAGCATCCTGCCATGCGATTATATTTGTCCCTAACCATCAGGAACCCTCACATTAAATTTTATCGAGTGGAAAAATCCTCCATCCTCCAGCTTCACTGTGTTTATG